TTTTTTTAATTACATTGACTAATAGATTTTATATATTTAATTGATTATTATATAGTTTTGTCTCTAAATTCAATTATATTTTTTCAATATCATATTGATTAGATAATTGATTTGTGTGTGGGATTGAATTTCTTTTCTCGATCTCTAATCCGTTATTAATTAATGTGAATTTGTGCTTTCTTTAGGGGGTAATTGTGTGCAATATATGGTTAAATGTGATATGATTTAATTTTTTCATTTTACTGTTACGTTATGAAAATATTTACGACCTTAGATAATATATCGTTATTGTTGTTGCAATAAAAAATATTTCTCTAAAGGCTATGAGCCTTGTGTAAAGTGAGAAAGTGTGTAAAATTTAACCATTTTTGCAGATAAGAAGTTTATTTCTTATTTTATGTGAAATTGAATTCATTATGAGAGCGAAGTGTATTTACCATACACATGTAATGTAAGGAAATCTTCTCCAACTATACTTAAGTTATAAACATTGATTATTATTATTGATTATTTTTTTTTCCTTTTCTATTAAAAGATTGTTTGGACATTTTTTTTCCCACAAATTTGTCTTCGCAAATATCTTATAACTATATTGTAGAATAGAAATAGAAAGTACTTGTAGAATTGAATATTTAGGAAAACAATCAAATGTCAAACAAGTAAGTTAAATATCATACCGATTACAATTACATCAGCAGAAAGAAGGTTTTTCAACTTGAAATTTATTAAGCTTTATCACTGATCAACTTTGTCACAACAAAAATTGAATGGATTGACCATGTTATCTATTGAAAAAGAAATGGTTGAAGAACTTGACTATTCAAAATTGACTAACATTTTTGTCTCTAAAACAGTGGGATGAGTTTTCTTTAAGTGATCGTTTAAAATATTTTTGCATTGTTATTTAATTGTTATATATATATTTAGTTATTTTATTGTAGATTTTAAGTTAACAAATTTAATTTCATAAAACTCTTATAAATAAAAAATAAATTGATTATTTGCTACGATTTAGGAACCAAAATTCTGAAATTCGCCTCAATCCCCATGAAATACAAGTATAGCTTGTTAGCCCAAGAATAACTAACTAAGAGGGGGGGTGAATTGGTTTTTGAAACTTTTTCATTAATCACTCAAAATTCTAATATAGTGAACACGTAAATAATCTAAACACAAGTACACACGTAAATAGAACAATGTAAATTTGCGTGAAGTAAATGCGTTAAGTAAAAGATATAGAGAATGCAAACAATATATTATGAATGTTCGATCCAAATCAATGATCTACGTCTCTCGTTACCAAGCTCTCCGTCACGAATAAGGTCAAATGCACTATAATGGTAACTTACAAACAAGGAGTACCGATCCTTAAGTGGCTTACAATAAGGAGCACTTATCCTTAGGTGACTTACAACAAGGAACACATATCCTTAACAACAATCGAGTTT